ATTCTAACTAGTAGCCTTTTGTGACTAATCAGTCAAGTACAATAACAATTCAACACTAATAACCACTTGTGCAGCAGGAGTGGTTTCTCCAAATGAAACAAAAAAACAACTTTAATGGGTAGCCATTTATGGAGTGGCTCCATTATTCAACCCTTTTATAAAAAGCATCTTTAGTACTTAATAGAGCACAAATCTGTTATGATCCTCCAGAAATGTGATTAATAAGCAGATACTAGGCTCTGGGCAATCCAATCTGCTCATCAAGAGCAAGGCCTCTTAATTTTTGGTTTGCATACTAATAACTTTCTCTCCAGGATTTCAACTGAAACTTTGATTGGGTTTAATAAACAATCTAAGGACGTTGAGAGTCCAAAAACATCAAGCTTCAACTTTCTTTAACCTCTTACACCCTAAGGGGGTATAAATAAATTTCTGCCTGACAAAAACACACAAAAGTAAATCACTTATAGCCTCACAGCTATTAGATTTAAGAAGAAACTTTTGGTACGTCTGTAAAGGTAAGATGTCATAGAATGGTTTTCTGGTGTCAGCACCATTGTAGCTTTGACCCTGCCTGAAATATTAGGGACAAAATACAAAATATTTTGCATTTTTTGAACCTCGCCAAAATTTTCTTTGAAATAAACATTGCAAAACACTACCAAAATATTATTTATAACACAAAAAAGTAGTACAGACTTTTAAATCTAAATGTTGTGTAAGAATATACCAAATTTGGACTCAATAAGATGAATCGTATTTATTTTAGAATGGTATTAGTGAGAAATTTCTTAGGCGGAGAGGCCATTTTGGCACATTTATCCAAAAATGTCACCAAACTGTGCCAAATGTGTTTTTTACATCAATACTGGGGGTTTGTTAAGATTACGAGGTCACGTAGCAGCTGGACCCACCGGTGGGTCCGTAGGGTTCTAGGGGTTAAGACAACGCTATTTTCTACCTTTCTAACTTTTAGTTGTGTCTTGTACTTTTGTTTTCTCTCCTTGTTTGTTTAAGGTGTGACTGCCTTATTTTTTGACAGGACCTGTTTGTGTTTTTTATTGTTTGCAGGTGCCAATGAGCTTTGGGCAACAAAAAAGCGTCTACTGCTCAATTTTTGATGCTTGTATACATAAAGTTCAGACACACCTCAAGAGCATCCTTGACGGTACTGAAGAGGGTCCAGTAAACTGTATACAGATACTTCTGCTGCTCCTATGTTCAATTGCAGTGAGTGGCTTTGCTATATTTGCTATGATAGGTGGGTAAAAAGTAGTTTTGATATATTTTTAAGCAAGAAAGTCCACCTCAAAACTTAGTCTGTGCACACAGCTCATCAAGATTACGATCCTGCCTTAAAGTATTATTTCGATGTCAGAGCCTCGCACACCCCCACAAACTGGCGGTGCGTTGTCACTGGGCATCACCAGCAGGCGCAGCCTCAGGCCCGGTCGCCACTTGGGGGGTTTTCCCAACTGTATATGTTGGCTGGAAGTAGATTTTGGCGTTTTTCAGGTATGTTGTTCAAACTGCAAGCACCAGAATAACATCTTTTGCTGACATTTTAAGTTAATTTAGGCATTAAGAAACAGTTTCAGAGGAGTGGTCATAGCGATCTGCATCAGCAGTGCTGTGCCTGTCTCCCTGCAAACCTCAGATCAGCTTCTCTGATTGGTTGATGTGGCACGTCGAGCAGCCAAAATTTAATTTTTCCAACTCCAGCATCTGCTGCTTGTGAAGCGTGTCACGCGCCTCAGATGCTCAGAAGCTCATTCGGCGCTGCTTCAGCTGCTTAGGTGCGTCAAGATGCTCCGCTCCTGCTGCTCTAGACGCACTGACGGACCTATTGATGCACCTTGATGCATGGCAACCATAGACTTTGCATGTAAAATAGGTGCTTCCTCTACGGGTGAACGCAGTATAAAAAGGTCACTGCAGACCTTTTACTCTGACTCCTGGAGACCGGGAGAGTTTTATCAACCCTGATTCCAACAGCAGAGCTAAACAACCCAAAAGGATTCTTTAATAAAAAAAAATTTTTCATTAGACTTATGTATCAATGGCAATGACAAAGGCAACTATATTTCTTAATATATTTTAATAAAGCCAGTGATTTTAGTGAGCTGTTACGCAAAGGTATGCAGTCTTCACACATCTTCACATGTAAATTTGACCCCTCAGCATATCGCGATTTCTACCCGATCCCCACCCCACCATCCCCAAACTCCCCTCAGATTAAAGTTTGTAGCCAATTTGTACAATGGTACATGTACTTTCACACAAGATAACTGTTTAAGTTGACATGTCAAAAATCAACTCAAGACTTTGTTATAGTATCACTTGTATGGCATAATGGGAGTTCCTGTACTTATTTTTTTACCACTTAAAGCACTGAATGACATAGTATAATGTGTCATTTTGTATATTTGGCTAGGAATTTCAAAACGCCTGAATACGTGCATCATAACTTGTTAAAGGTGTGGCCCTTATTTATATTTACCATCCTTAATCCAAAGTCAAGACTAATATGTATAAAAAAGAATGCAAACACAGCATTTCATTGCTATGAATTGTTTAACAAAGCAGGGATTAAAAGAGTATCAACAACTTAAGTACTTAGACAAGATTTTTAAGCTAACAGTAGAGCTAAAACTCTAGCATTGCCTCCCCCCTTTGAAAAAGTGATCTTAGTGCTGCCAAGAGCAATATGAAGATAGAGTATAATATGAAATTTACCGAACAAGTGAAGACAGACTCCAATCTAGCCTATATTGTACTCAGTAATGTGCTTCTATAAAGGCTGTCAAGGCGATTTTGATAGCATTCTGTAGACCCTCCCTGTCAATGTAGTCAGAATAATAGTTGATCTTAACCTAAGTACGGCTAACGTAACAGTGCTGCTGACAACCACTGCCTAATGTCATGTTATACAGGTAAAATACCAAGATTAATTCCTTACGACAACAGAAAATCTTATAATCCTGTCACTTTCCTGGACAAAAGCGTATGATTGGCTCAGCTTCCCAGTATAATGCTAATCCTGATGATTACCCCTTCCATTCACTATAGCAACAGATGTGTGAGGATGAAATTTTAGAAAGTGTGGGGGGAAACTAACCCTTAGGGACACATATCACTTCTGCCTTTTTGTAGGATTTTACTTACTTGATATCAAAATTAATATTTATAGAATATGGCAGTCAGTATTTCAAAGCAGCTACTCCCCTTACTCTGAGCCACCAGAGGCTTTAACAACGGGGAATCCTGGTTTGTCTCCCAATAAACCAGGCTGGTGTCTCATTAGCTTTATTTAAGCAGAAGATACCATGGAGAGCAAGATTGTTTGGAAGCCTTTACTAATGCATTCATCCTGGGATCGGACTTATGCAAGGCTAAAATAACACTTTCTCTGTGGATAGCTACATATGTTTAAAATATTTTATAAAAGAGCTTCATATAGGTGACACCTACATTCTGAGAATGGTGAGTTAAGTCTAGTCATATACTGTAGTAGCCCTTAAGACAAAGAAAATATATTTTCAAATGCATGGAAGTTTATGGATTGGTTAATAATATTGTGCATAAAATATATTCTTGGCAGTAGTTTAAAAGTAATGACATCAAACTGGGTTTGATATTAGCTGAATTAGTTTATTTTTCCAAAAGAATTTAACTGGCTCTACTCTCCAAGTAAAGCTAGAATCATAAAACATGACCTTGAATGGAACTATTTCTCCACAGGTTTAAAAAACTCAATTTTAAAACCATGCCAAAAATACTAATATGCAATGTTAATGAATTCTATTTGTCTTTGAATTCTGTAAAACTATTTTGAGTGCTTTTCAGAGTTATCTCTCTTGTATCAAAACAATGAAAACACACAAAACTGTAAGGAAAATATAGGACATGTCTAAAATGTCTTAAAATGCCTTAATTTTCATTTTTTATTCATTATGAACCAGCTACAGTTATTCTCTGAAAGGAAAAACAAACAAACTGTTGTCTGCACAGATAAACAGAAAAAAAAACAATGCACCTTGGCAAGGGGAGGAAATAATGTTCCAATCTGCTTAATAAAAATATGCATTTGACCTGTGGTGTTTTAAATTATCCTATACACATATAAACACACACAAACCTAAAGACATAACCTCCTTGGCAGAGGTGATAAAACATTCTATTAAGGGACCGAAGGGTGAATGTGATTGCCATCTATGCTTCCAATTATGACCAGAAACATGACGGCGGTATGTTGGAGGTCTGGCACTCCGAAAAAAAACTGTATCATTTAATGGGATCATGATCACGATAAACTGACTTCACAGATGATGTTTTGAGGTCTACTTTCTTACTAAAGAATTCATAATTTTTTTTTTTTTATCTCGCCAAAGTAAATAAAACTAAGCTGCTCTCAAGCTTGTTGCTGCTGAGCAGAGCAGATAAACAACCAGAGCTTAGAGCATCCAGAGCACTGATGCATCAAAGCAACTTGACCATTGTTTGACCCAGTATCCAAATTTCGGCGTCTAAGCGTTTTTGACGCCAAAACACATTCGCTGAGAAAGCACCATAATTTGTCTTAGGATAACGGCTAACAGGCTTTCTGAATAGGATAAGCCTGAGTATGCAGGAATTTACCTTCTAACTTATTAAGTTCTGATATCCCATTTCCTGATACAGGACCCTATTTGTATTTGGATATAAACACATTTGTCTGGGTGACAAACTGCTCCATTACAACGAGAAGATATTCTTAACTAAAATGCTTAGTAGTGCTTTGATTAAACTAGGAATAGAGTAGAACATTTCTATCAAGTAATGTAATATGTTAATAGGTAGTTGGATTTCATTCCACTTCAGTCTATGAGAAAAAAAACCCTGCAAAAACGAAAAACAAAACAAAAAAAACGCATAGCCGCTGTTGTGCAATTCACTGTAAGAAAGCTTCTGCATTAATGTGGTGAGTGCAGGCTACATGACCAAAGGGTGCAGGGACTGACCTCTTTCTCTCCACAAATATTGCTGATTATGGAGTTGGATGCTGGACTGGCAGATGGACCAAGGACTGCCACAACCCCTTTAGACATGATCTGACACACTGGAAGAAAGCAGAGACGCACAGATAAAGAAGTTTAGAATTAGGCATACGTATAAACGTATTTGACAAAGATCTGGAACATTTCAGTACAGTACTGCCACAACCTAACTGTCACAACATCTGACCAACACAGGCTAAGACAAGCTTGTCCAAATGTCTAAACAGAATTCACAGCTATATGTACATAAATATATGTTAGAACCAAACTTATTAAAAAAAAGATTGGTATTTAATGATATCTACTCAGTCAGAAAATATAGAAATGGGAAGAGACTAGATGAACAGAGTGACAGACACCGAGAAAGACAGAGAGACAGAAATAGCAATATCTGGAGGCTTAAAAGCTGAAATCTGGTATTTGAATATTTGCACATGAATGGAATAATTTCCCCAAAAGTGGCACACATCTTGTCTTGTTCTCCGAATTCTACATTTACAAGGGCTGATTTAAAGGCTTTACCTTTGGGGTTGAAAACATATCTTTTGACAGAAACATTTGAGTGAAAATGAGTTTTATTCCTCTCTTGTGTACACATACTTTCATCTTCCAAACTCAAACACAGAGTGGTGTTTCTTGTCAGCTTATAATCCCTGCTTCATAATTAAAACACTGCAGTTTGGAGCTGGGGGAAAGCACAGAACAGTACTGCTCTTATGTGTGCAAGGTGTGTATAGGTCCTAGTAATTTTGTGTTGATTAGTGGGGCAAAATAGAAGCAATTATCAACCATGTGCATGAAAACTTCTTTAGGGCTGAGAAGGCAGAGAATCGAATCATCAATAATTGTTCCTCTGGTCACCCACAGGACCCACTTTATGACAGATGACTGCTCAAGAACAAAAAAATACATGTGTACACTCAAATTCTCTTTGCATTTGCACCTGTCTGTGTGGCTTCACTGATATGGCTAATCTTTTTGGCTGCAAGCCAGTATACAGCTATTCATTTTGACTGGCTCTTCAACTGTACTGATTTTAAACTACCTTACAGAACAAGTAAAAACACTCCTGTAGAAAATGTAGTGTACTGGTGAGCTCCATTATTCAAATGATTTCTGTGGATATGTTGCCTTTATCTATTAGCTTCTGGTTCTTTTTTTTAACTCGAGGATAAAGTTGCCTTGTTATATACTAGATATGCATAAAGAATGTTACACTATACTGATATGCAGAGTCTTTGTATTTATTGTGAAAAATCTAATCTTTATCCCTACTAGGACCTTAAAAATTATGGTTTGTATTGTTAGATCCAAGCCTTTGGTCCTATGAGAACTGCTGGTTTCAACAAGGTCAATGTCTAGTAGGCTGGTGCAACATCGGCCCACAAAGTTTATAGTTTAATCAATACAGAGCTGCAGAAAGTTTAGCTTTTAGGCATTGATTCAGCTCACTTGGAACATAATCTGAGCAATGGCTGAGAAAGCTTGGTCTACATGAAATGCAACTTGTCTCTCACACCCAAGCATTAATGAAAGAAAAAAAAACAACAACTGTCAAGTTTACAATGACTGCATGTTAAATTCTAAGCATTTTTTAAAATACAGTAAAGTGATAATTGATTACTGCTGATTTTTAATGCTTTAATTGTGATTTTTTTAAAATATATTTTAAAAAGAAAACTGCAATAAATATTGTTTGATGTGAAGCACTATTTCAATGGGCAGGGGTGCGCCTACGTCACTAGGGTTAAGCACATGCATTGACCGACAATTTGTTTTTGTTTATGCTTTTATATTGAAGACTGCATTCTTCTGAGGATACTTTTCTGAAGGCAAGGTTTATTAAGTGCACACATGTGGATAACGTTATGATGGTACCTTAAAAAATTAAGCTCAAGTCACTGAAAAAGTTGGTTCCCAGTGGTGCAGATTAGCTATTGGGTTAAAAATGAAAGTAGTGGATTGAAGCTGTACTTTAATTTGATAATTATTTGTATATATCTTGCCCCCATTAATTAATTAATATTTTATACATCTTCTATTTCTTATTCACACCTGGTTAGTAGATCCAATTTTCATTTACACGCAAACCTTTTTAAAATCAGGCAGTATATGTAATAAAGCTACACAATACATGATTTTTTAGTCTGTTAAGTTATTTAAAATTATATAGATTTGTCCAATTACATTCTAATTGTCAAAGATGTACCTTTATATGATGAACGTATGAACTGTAAAGTGCCTTGAGATGACATGTGTTGTGAATTGGCGCTATACAAATAAACTGAATTGAATATGAGCCAGTGAGCGTTTACTTTTTGACCTTCGAAATGCATGTTGGGAAGAATAGTTAAAAAAAAAAAAAAGGGGAAAAAACTGTTATAAAAACACTCCATAATATTGTGAAAAGACCTCCCTGAAGAGTATAAGGTCTTACAGATCTAAAGAGCAACTGCTGTCATTTTAATTGTCATGGATTTAGAGCAGGATGTCACTCAAGTATGTATATGTGTGAGGGGAGGAAAAATAGGTTTTGGCAATATGTTGTATAAAGATACACTATATTGCCAAAAGTATTTGCTCACCCATCCAAATTATTGGAATCAGGTGTTCCAATCACTTCCATGGCCACAGGTGTATAAATTCAAGCACCTAGGCATGCAGACTGTTTTTACAAACATTTGTGAAAGAATGGGTCGCTCTCAGGAGCTCAGTGAATTCCAGCGTGGAACTGTGATAGGATGCCACCTGTGCAACAAATCCAGTCGTGAAATTTCCTCGCTCCTAAATATTCCACAGTCAACTGTCAGCTGTATTATAAGAAAATGGAAGTGTTTGGGAACGACAGCAACTCAGCCACGAAGTGGTAGGCCACGTAAACTGACGGAGCGGGGTCAGCGGATGCTGAAGCGCATAGTGCGAAGAGGTCGCCAACTTTCTGCAGAGTCAACCACTACAGACCTCCAAACTTCATGTGGCCTTCAGATTAGCTCAAGAACAGTGCGCAGAGAGCTTCATGGAATGGGTTTCCATGGTCGAGCAGCTGCATCCAAGCCATACATCACCAAGTGCAATGCAAAGCGTCGGATGCGGTGGTGTAAAGCACGCCGCCACTGGACTCTAGAGCAGTGGAGACGCGTTCTCTGGAGTGACGAATCGCGCTTCTCCATCTGGCAATCTGATGGACGGGTCTGGGTTTGGCGGTTGCCAGGAGAACGGTACTTGTCTGACTGCATTGTGCCAAGTGTAAAGTTTGTTGGAGGGGGGATTATGGTGTGGGGTTGTTTTTCAGGAGCTGGGCTTGGCCCCTTAGTTCCAGTGAAAGGAACTCTGAATGCTTCAGCATACCAAGACATTTTGGACAATTCCATGCTCCCAACTTTGTGGGAACAGTTTGGAGCTGGCCCCTTCCTCTTCCAACATGACTGTGCACCAGTGCACAAAGCAAGGTCCATAAAGACATGGATGACAGAGTCTGGTGTGGATGAACTTGACTGGCCTGCACAGAGTCCTGACCTCAACCCGATAGAACACCTTTGGGATGAATTAGAGCGGAGACTGAGAGCCAGGCCTTCTCGTCCAACATCAGTGTGCGACCTCACAAATGCGCTTCTGGAAGAATGGTCAAAAATTCCCATAAACACACTCCTAAACCTTGTGGACAGCCTTCCCAGAAGAGTTGAAGCTGTTCTAGCTGCAAAGGGTGGACCGACGTCATATTGAACCCTATGGATTAGGAACGGGATGTCACTTAAGCTCATATGTGAGTCAAGGCAGGTGAGCAAATACTTTTGGCAATATAGTGTATGTGATGAATGACAAAAGATAAATTAATATTAAATACTAACTGAAACAGAAAAAGATTAAATGTGTATCGGGGGGAAAAAGATGCACTTCTTAATATATCTGTATGTGTGATAAAGAAAAAAATTTAATAGCCTTTCTTAATATTTCAATTCACAGTAGCTATGGGTACTCATCCATCCCTAATCCAATTTCTGGCCTTAATAACAGTCTCGCACACAAAAGATTTGTACTACATGACAATATCTCTGCTGCACACACAACCAAACGTGATCATAGACACGGAAAAAATCCAAATATTTAGGCTGGTTACTTTTATTCAGATGCAGAAAGCAAGAAAATTTGCCGTTTTTTTGTGGAATGTGTATCAGGGCTGATATGAATAAGTGACACCACTGACTTATTGTGTTTGTTTGACAGTATCAGACTGAAAATATCCACTTTTTTCAGCTGTTCGTTAAATGATTTCATTTCCTAATACACATAATGTGCTGAATGGATTTTTGGTGTGGTCAGTAACAAAAATCAAAAAGGTCAAACAATCAATATTGAGGTGTGAGGAACCTATTTTCGAATTAGAAGTCATAAGTAAAACGCAATACAAAAAAATTTATTGCATAGTGTTAATGCTCCCTCCTTTGGTTTGAATTTCTAAGGCGAAGATGCTTACAGTATTTGTTCCCACAGTTTAACCAGATATATGTATATACAGAATCCGGTACCAAACATTTTCCAGGGTAGCTTTTCTCTACAAAAAACCTAAAATGCTTTACAATAAAAACAGATAATGGTATCCTAGTTGCTTCACTGACTTTATCTAATAGGGTTCGATCCAACATCATAGCATCATTGAAGGCTGCATTGGTGATGTTTCCACCTGTGCTCATATGACCATTTAAGATTCTTAGTATGAGCTTGGAGATGTGCATGTCAACATGTTGTTCGCACTGAATTACAAAAATTTTTTTTTTTTCTATTTTCAGCCTTTACCATTATCTCCTCATTAACTGAAATTAATAGTTTTCATTACATCTGTAACCCTTATTATATAATGATGACGTTTAATTAATTTTCTTTATATAATTTATTTTTAATTTATATGAATGAAATTTATATGAATGAAACAATATAGTTTGTTTAGCCGTGTGACAGTAGGGCTGCCTCCATCCTTACAGGATGGAAGAATGAATGCTGCTTTCCAGGAGAAAATTCTGAAGGAAAACAGTAGGCCAACACTTTGTTGCATTCAGCACAAATG